CCCCCGCAGTGGCGACCGGGGTCTGGGGACCTTAACCCTAAGGGGGCTGGGTCTTCCCTGTCGTGCTTGGGGACAGCCAGCCTCCCGCTGTCCCCAAGCCCGGGCTGTGGCTTGTCTCCTGCTATTTTATTTTATTTTATTTTATTTTTTTTAACTTAAATATATTCCTTTGATTTGTGGCGTGAATTTTAAAGGCAGTCTTATAAGATGAGGATTCGGATGTCATTAAAGTGTGAGTTCCCCGGAGTCACCGCGACCTCGTTTTCTGGGCCTCACTTTGGAGAGACAAGTGGAGGCCACCGACACACACCACGGTCTCGCTCAGGCCTCTCCCCGGTGGCCTTTGCAGCTGCCCCGGCTGCTCTCGGTTTTTGAGACTGAGTCTCGCTCTGTCGCCCGGGCCGGAGTGAGCGCCGTGGCGTCAGCCTCGCTCACAGCAGCCTCCACTCCTGGCCTCCAGCGAGCCTCCCGCCTCGGCCTCCCTCCCGAGTAGCTGGGACTCCAGGCATGCGCCTCCACGCCCAGCTCGTTTTTTCTATATATTTTTAGTTGGCCAATAAATTTCTTTCTATTTTTACAGTAGAGATGGGGTCTCGCTCTTGCTCAGGCTGGCCTCCAACTCCTGGACTCCAGCAATCCTCCAGCCTCAGCCTCCCAGAGTGCTGGGACTACAGGCGTGAGCCTCCGCGCCCGCCTAATTTTATTTATATATTTTTAGTTGTTTGGGTAATTGTGTTTTCTATTTTTTTAGTAGAGACGGGGTCTCGCTCTTGCTCAGGCTGGCCTCCAACTCCTGACCTTGAGCGAGCCTCCCGCTTCGGCCTCCCTCCCGAGTAGCTGGGACTCCAGTCATGCGCCTCCACGCCTGGCTCATTTTTTTTTTCTATATATTTTTAGTTGTCCAGCTCATTTCTTTCTATTTTTTTTGTAGTAGAGACGGGGTCTCGCTCTTGGGCTCAGTCTGGCCTCCAACTCCTGACCTCTATAGCGATCCTCCCCGCTCAGCCTCCCAGAGTGCTGGGATGACAGGCGTGAGCCACCACACCCGCCTAATTTTTTCTATATATTTTTAGTTGTTTGAGTAATTGTATTTTCTGTATTTTTAGTAGAGATGGGGTCTCGCTCTTGCTCAGGCTGGCCTCCAACTCCTGACCTCCAGCGATCCTCCTGCCTCAGCCTCCCTCCCGAGTAGCTGGGACGACAGGCATGCGCCACCACGCCCGGCTCATTTTTTCTATATATTTTTAGTTGTCCGGCTCATTTCTTTCCATTTATAGTAGAGACGGGGTCTCGCTCTTGCTCAGGCTGGCCTCCAACTCCCGACCTCTATAGCGATCCTCCCGCCTCGGCCTCCAATAGCTCCGGGTTGACAGCCGTGAGCCCCTGCACCGCGCCCGGCCTGTCCCGACCACTAACTGGGTTCCCCCTGGGTTCGTGCCCGTTCTGGAACCTTCCACCGTTGCACCTGTCGTTTGAGTCGCCTTCCCCCGCGGACCTTGTGTCCCTGGCTCCGCCCCGGGGCTGTGCGGGAGGCCGAGGAGGCTCCTTGTCGCCTGCGGGAGCCCCGAGTGTCTCCGCCACCCGCTGGGTCGGCCCTCCTGAGCGCGGAGGGAAGGGGCAATCCGGGAGGGCTGCCTGGAGGAGGCGGCACGCCCGCTGGGGACACAGCCAGGCGGTCCCCGGGTGGCTCCTGAGCCCGGCGGGGCCCAGTCCGGGTGGGGGACAGGAGGAGGCCATCAGGGGGCCCCCCAATAAAACCGCCTGTCCCCGCTGTCCCCCCGCAGCTGGCCCTGAGGAACGCGCTGCGCTACTTCCCCGCCGACGCGCACGCGCAGCTCGCGCCCGAGTTCGCCCGGGAGCTGCGGGACTTCGGCCACGTCTACATGTACCGGCTGTGCCCGCGCCGCCCGCCCCGGTGAG